CAGTGTTGGCTCACATCTATTACCGGTGCCGATCCCCTCGCCAAACAATACGGTTGTACACAAACACAACACTCCATATATTGGCCAACATTTTATGGCATTAATTATGAGATTTTCGATGAGTCCTAAGCACTACTCGTTAATTATTTGGGCCCTTAAATCGGCTCATGTTTTGCGCTTTTGAAAACACTTTTGATATTTATTTTTTTCTCGCAAATAATTTATCGCGATTTATATGGGATATTAACGATTGGTTTGATCATCGTTAAGACGGTATGTGTGGTATCTGTGAGTGCCGGTGCTCTCTGTGTGTGTCTGTGGAGTGTATGTCAGAGATCACAGGTATTTGGCAAATAATATTCAGGATAATGTTCAGGCGTTTTGTGTTTTTGGGACACAACACACAAACAACATTGAAATTAATGTATAGTTTTTTTCTGAGGGCTTATTATTTTCTCTCTCCCTTACTATCTATTACTCCATTCACTCACTCACTGACTATTGTATCGCAAAATTTTAAGGCAAAAAAGGATTTTTCTTGAGTTTGAGGGCACTGGTAGGTCTCTCTCTGTACATACGGTTTGTATACACTTTGACTTATTTGAAGCGCAATTCCTATTTCTCAGACACACCTATTTTAGTGCCAAAAAGACCCCAAAAATTTTCAACAATTTTTTCACTATTTTTTTCTCGCCTTTTACTTCATTTCGGTGCCCATACTCTCCATACGATTCCTTATGGAGAGAGAGAGAGAGAGAGAGAGAGAGAGAACAGTGAGGAGACACTCCATACGCGATATGTCTTATGATTTAAGGAGTAGTCCGACAGTAGTCGTCGGAATCGACTGAAAAACTTTTTTCTTCATACATATAATACACACAAGAATTATGTTCCGCTTTTTGATGGAAATAAGACTTTTTTTCATGTCTTCCGTTTTCAATTCATATGTCTATTCAATCGTTTGTATTGAAAATCATAGCATTTTTTGCTATTTTGCAAATCGATGTGTGATTTCTCTGATAGTTTTTATCCATCGATAATATATTGTCTCACAATTCGCACACAATTTATTCAAATCATGTTTTCTCTGATATGTGCATTAAAATAGGGTATCTCTGAGTATATCGAAAAAAGTGATTAGTTTTTTCTCAAAATTCATGTCATTTTAAACTTCTGTTATCCATGTAATTCTATAACTCGTTTCGTATTCATATATCAATCCATAAGTCATATGCCCTTTCCGCCCGGCCCTTGAGATTATGATTTTTTCACTTTCTTTTTAACCCTACTTTTGCTCCAATTTTTTCCTACTTTTGACACTATTTTTGTTATCAGAATTCATCCGGAAATACTCTCTCTCTCTCTCTCTCTCTCTGGATTTGAAAAATAAATTCACGACTTAAACCACTCCTTACGAGCATTACTGGCAATAAATTGAAAAATAATAAAATAATTTTCATCGATACGACTACTGTCGGACTACTCCTTAAATCATAAGACATATCGCGTATGGAGTGTCTCCTCACTGTTCTCTCTCTCTCTCTCTCTCTCTCTCTCTCTCTCGTACTTTTCAAATCAATTCTTATATGTATTAAAAGACTCGAGACATTTAAATACAACATATTTTTCAACTGCCTTTTAAAGTTTAAAAGTCAATAACAAACATATGTTTGCATATAAATTTCAAACCAAAACCTCATAGCAATGTAATGTGTTTTCAAAAAACATTGAATTATTAATTCCCATTTTCCCACTAATTATAATATAAAAACACTTAAAAACATGGAATTTAATCAGAGGTTCAACGAGAAAAACAAAAAGATCAGCAAAAATAAGTTATTACAATGAGATATAAAATATATATTTTTAGCATATATATATTTCCATAGGTCTGTACAATACCCATTTCTCAAGTGATTTATCGCTTTATATATTTATTTTAATTACACAATTGATCTGATTATGAATAATAATATTTAACTTCTTATCATATCATTCATACTATACTTAACTTTCACTTTTTCATAGCCTTATACACATTGTATTGCCTGGTATACTGCATAATACAAAGTTTATCATAATAAAGTTAAGGCATATATTTTTATGGCATATATTAATGCGATTCATAAAAACATGAAAATTAAAAGGAAAAAAATTAAATCTAAAAAATTGTATAAAACTTTTTGCTTACACTACGCGTACATATAATGGGAAAAAATTACTTTAAGGCCATTGAATCCGTCGAAAGATTTCGAGACTCGCCTCCCAATTGATGCCATAATTTCTCTCTTATTTTTTTATTTGTGTGAAAAACAGGCAAAAAGTATTTAATCGAAAGGAAATTACGTAAAGAGATGGCGAACGGAAGGGCTCCGGGATAGAAATATTTGAGTCAAACAAATCTCCTTATATATTATACAATGATTTTTATGTGAGAAATATCTCTCTCGACGTTTACATACACGGAGTTTGGGTCACCTTCACTGTAATGTGCCGGTGCTGTTGAGCAACTTATACCACCAGTCTATGATATAATGTAATAATCTATACATACAATGCATATATATATATATGTAAGAATATATACATACATATAATGATGTATTCTTTAAATACTCGCTTCTTATTATCGATTTCCTGCGTTAATGGCTTCGAGTGTTTTAACATTGAATTCAAAAATATTAATCTCTCTCTCTCTCTCTCTCTCTCTCTCTCTCTCGGCGAAGACACATTAATCCTAAGCATATTCTCTCGCTTTTTTCCATATCAAAAGAATATGCTATTGAGTGTATAATTGTAATTGTAATGTGTTTTTCAATTTTCATCCATTCATTTAGGCGTTTAAAGTAATTATTCATTCCGTTTAATAGTTATTACTTTATGTGAAGTATTAAATACCTTATGTTTTAATGAAAATTCTTTCGTTTCCTTTTTATATTATATATATAATCGTCGGGTACTGTATGTATGTGTGTATGAGAGAGAGAGAGAGAGAGAGAGAGAGAGAGCTTTCTCACTGCAACCTCCCTGTGCTCTAAGGCAAACATGACTGTGCTTTTAGTGGCTGTGTGTCCCATATTTTTTTCATAATATTTTTTATTTAAGGTTTGACTTTCTCACTGATATCAATGTCATAACTCTCGTATGAATGTTGTGGTCATTTCCAGTACCTTTCAAAATGAATGTTCACTTAAAAAGCACTTATTATAATGTATTGGCTTTTGTTATATACCGGAGTGAGTCTTAAGAGTCAGACATTACAGCAATGAAAAACAAGACATGCGAGAGAAAAATGAGCGCAAAATATAAGTATAATATTATTTAAAAACGAGTAAAATAATAGCCATAACTATTCAAGACTTTGCAACATTCAGACGATTTGCATAATAATGAAAAGCCATTTATAATTCGCTTTTCATTCCTCGAGTACTGATAGAGAAAGTGTAAAAAGACGTAAAATTTATTATTTAACAGAGAGTTATAGTTATAGTGAATGAGAGAGAGAGAGAGAGAGAGAGAGACTGATAGACGACTCCCTACTTAAACTAATAAAACTTATCGCAAAATTTATATATTTTTAATGCCAAACAGTGTTTGAGTAACGAAATCACAAATTAAAACTCCAAAAATCCAACTATAATTAAAAAACTTTGTTTCCATAAATAAAATAAAATAATTTTCATTTTCTATGAGTCTATCCGTCCGATTAGCGGATCATTAATCGTCTGATCGATGCAATCGTTTTTCCAAATTGAAGGTAAAAATGCTAAACAAATGCTTAGCCAAGGCTTACGCGACTAATTATCTAACGTTTTGCTGCAGATATCTATAGCCCCGACCCTCCCCCTCCCCGGTTCCACTCATTTATTATGCCAGTGAGAGTGCTCTCTCTCTCTCTCTCTCTCTCTCTCTCTCTCTCTCTCTCTCTCTCACTCACTCTCTCTCTCTCTCTCTCTCTCTCGTCATTATTATTTTTAAGAGTTTCTATTCTGTGAGTAAATTTCAATTTTATTTTTAATTTACTTATTACAGAACGCATTCACATAACGCTAAATGCAATAAATTCTTGACTCAACACTCGATGCAATCAAAGCGTGCAATCCTTACGAGTCGTTCATATATTTTAGGCATTTTTTTGGTAGAGAAAAAAGTTTTCTGCTATTTTTCTTGAGACACTTAACTTTGAAACTCTCACTCATGAGTGAGAATCATGAGAGAGAGAGAGAGAGAGAGAGAGAGAGAGAGAGTACATAACGTAAGGAAAACATACGAAAAATTAAGAAAAACACATATTTTTGAGTGAAATATTTTCGCTAAACATACAGAAAAAAATAAACGCATTTTTTCGCCAAAGCTCGTCGAGAGAGACACCTAAAAAAATCAGGTCAATGTGATGTTCAAGGCAAAATTATTTTTCCAACGCTTATCACACGGTAGGCAATCAGTCAGTCGACGGGTTAAGACTTCGGGTGCTGTTATTATTGTGTTTTTATACGTATTTTTATGGCATAATACGTGAATATTGTTATGTTTTGTTACCACGAATTCTGTGAACCAAATTCTCCCCTCTCATCGCATGCTTTGCGCTCGTTTTTAGTACACTTTTTTTACTTTTTACTTTTACTCTCAACAGTTTTTCTTACTTTTCATTTCACGATTCAATTTATTTCGGCCGAAAACTACTAATTACGAGCACTTTTGTGCCGTACAATCAGAGGTACCCAGACTACAGACTACATAATGACTACGGGAGGGGGCCCTGCATTTCTCATATCAGTACTAACCACTCGTATGTCCACCAGAATTACATTAAATATAAATCTTTATTAGAATAATAACAGAATATATATTTATATTTTCGGGGCTAATGGCAGCAACCGATGGACAGGGAGGTCAGGGATTCTATCGCCGACACTATAGACTTAAACACTACTTACGATATAAACACAGCATTTGTTGAATACTTTTTGCAAACCAAATATAAATCCAATGAGAAGTCTATGAGAAGTCTGGACACAATCGCACAGTTAGCTCAGCGCCGGCTGTCTATGACGGAGGAACCTATCGATGATATAATGAGTGGACAGTTAGTCAGACCAATTGATACAATGCCTGAGTTGGGAACACTGGGAGCACTGGTAATCAAATCTGTGAAAGACTTAATCAGTTATTCAAATGAAGGACAGTTAGCTAACCCAGAGTTAGATAATACTAATGATACAGTAGATGGAGAGGTAGTTATTCAGCGCATCGATACACCAGAGGAACGGGATGTTAGCACATCTAATGAGTCCATAGAAAACTCAATCGATGGACAGGTAGTCAATCAAATGGATACTTATGTGACGGAAGTTATGAAGGAAATGGTAGTCAAACCCATATCAGAGGCTATTATCGATTCATTTAAGGAACGGGATGTCAGTCCACAGAATGAGTTCACAGTAGACACTGTGGACGGACTTGTAGTCCAATCACCGGAACAACCTATAATGGAAACACTCGTGGAAAGGGATGTCAAACCTCTTGAAAGCCTAATAGTCTACACATCCGATGGACAGGTAGTCATTCCGCGGCAAAAGTCAGTTGTAGACGAGACTGACGGACAGGTAGTTAGCCGTCAAGAAGATCCAAAACGTGTAGCACTGGTGGGCACACATTGGGTGGGAGTGGAGCCCCCGGAGGGACAGGAGGCTGAGGCACAGGTCGAGGCTTTGATACATAATCTGTTGGAAACTCTGGAGCCATTGACAGACATCGAGCCATACATCCGACCCAATCATCTGTTGGATGCCTTCCGATTGGATGACAAGTGTTTGGGCGCCGGCCTATCGGGACCTGTAGTGCGGGGTATAGACGGTAGGGATGGCCGGGAATACGCGATTAAAATGCATTTCATTGTCGGTATGTATTCATTAAATCTATTAAATTGCTGTTTATTTCAAATCTAATATAAAATCTCATTTAAAACTTTGTTTTTAAAATCAATTTTAAACTGTAATTTTATATACATTTTATGATTAATATAAGTATTTAATTGATATTTTTAAATTTGACCTAAACATCAATGAACTCATTATTTATTGTCATGCAAAGTAATTATTTTAAAAGATTTAAAATTTTACACAGAATGTTTTTTATAATGTCCATTAGGATAACATTAGTTTTATTTAATAATGATTTAATAACTTAAAATTGATACCAAACTGTAGGTATAAATTTAAAATTAATATTTATACTTTATAACTAATAGATTTATTTTAATTAAATTTTGGGCTTGATTCTTCAAGATTATTTCTATAGATATATCATTAATTTTTTATTTAATATAAATTTTAAACTGTAATTTTATATACAATTTATAATTCATATAAATATATGCTTGATAAGTTTAACATTGGAATCATCATTTACAGGCCATTATTTATCATTATTCAACGTAATTTTTATTATACAAATTAAAAATTAAACAATATTTTTGTTGGCAGTGACTTAAAAACCAAATTGGCCTCATTTAAAAAATAGATTAAAAATCAATTTTAAGCTGTAATTCATATGAAATTTATATCTCATATAGTTATAGAATTAATGATTAGTTAATTTTTGGTCTAGTACACTCAACAGATTAATTATTTATTGTTATACAAGGTTTTATTTTTAAAATATTTTAAAACAATTTATTTATAATCTAATAACAATTATACATAATATTTATTTAAGTTTTTGTTTGTTTAGATTTTTAAGTGAATAAAGTTTACATAAGTTTTCATTTATTAACATCTTGATAGATTATGTTATAAACTATACAGTAGTTGTAAACTATAAATTTAAATAAAAATTATTATTTGTATAATAATGGATCTAGTTAAAATAAATTTTGGAGTATGATTAATATTAAAACTTTTTAATTTAGGTAAAGAGGACACGTGGGACGGCCTACTCGGGGAATTCCATCGCCGGCACCGGGAGCTCACGCTATGGCGACAGCTCACCCACACCGACGGGTGCCTCCAATACTATGACTCGTGGGTGGAA